CCTCTAAAACTGTGAGCCAGAATAAATATTTACACTGTATGACTTGATTGTCTCAGGCATTGTGTGTTACAGTAAACAAAACCTCACCAACATACCCACAATTCTTAGAAAAGTGATAAAACACAGAAAAGCAATACCAGGATTCCAAAAAGCAGGAAATGATGCAAAGACAAACTTATTAGAGAAACTCTGCACAGATCCCCTGTCTTGTCTTCTGATGCCTTCCTGAGTTGACAAGCTATCTCCAGTAAGAAAGGATTTAGTTTAAAATAAAATCTTTTGTGTGAAATTCCTGTCTTGATATTTGTGCAGACAGAAAAGACTGAAAACCCCTCTTTATTTCCACTGTCTTTTAGTCAATAATCTCTAATATTTTAGGAAGAAATATTTTGGTTCCCTTCAATGGTTTTGTTGTTTATGTTGTTTGCCCATAAATTCTATGAAAATTATAAATGTATGAAAATAAATTCTATGAAAAATAAGCTCCTTAATAATACTTTTATTGATAAAGAGTAATATACCTACTTTCTCATTTTTCCAATAGCAACAATAGCTGTTTTTCTCATGTTTATAGTTTCTACCAAATTAGAAATGTAAAACAGTTGAGAAGTATAGTTTAAAATTTTTATTGACATTGATAATTGTTTGGAACTGGAGTGTGCTTAAACTTCAGTTCCCAACATTTATAAGGCATGCTACTTTATTCCTCTAGTGGAGCTCATTTAGCATTTGAGGTTGTGTTTTTAGATGGAAGAAACTTAATTTGATTAATTCTTCTTCCTGCTTTCAGTAGGTGGCACCTGAGCAATTCTTCACCTTAGTTCCATCATCTAGACATTGGCATTCATTCATTTATTTACACATTTATTATGCAGTTAGAATATAGTTAGCAATTGTATCTGTTCTAGGGCTAATGTTCTAGTTATATGTTCTGTTATGCTTTTATTTCTGAGTTTTCCATATTATATATCAATTATTTTCCAGTTTTAGGTACTTTTCCTGCTTCTTCAATGAATAGGGAATATTTTGGAGCTGTCATATTGTGATGAACCATACAAGTCCTTGAAAATTGAAGTCATCTCTCTAGACACACTCTGCTCTCATTTTTATTTCGGACACTTGTTGCTTTCAAAGAGCTCAGCTAAATTTTACAGTGGTTCACCTAGGAACATGGTACAGGTTATTTAATACTTAAATTCTACAAACTTAATGGTGGATCTGTTATGACTGTCCTCCATTCCCAAATCTAATGCAGCAAAGGAGGGTAAGACATTGATCCCCTGGGCCAAATACATAGCCTAAACTCTTCTAGCCTTAACTGTTGTCCCTCTCATTCTTCTAAATTAGAATAATTTTTCAAAGTTTATTTAATAAAATAAACTTTCACATTTATTGTTTACTTTTGAGTCTCTTGCACTTCGCTTAATGTGTTTGCTTATTGTGGCCAGAGCTCCGAGAACACATAATTTCCTAAGCGATGAGAGTAGAGAAGTGATAGGAGGTTTTGGGGGGTTTTTGTTGTTGTTGTTGTTATTTATAACAAACCACTTTTAAGCATACCTGTGTTTATGTTGATGAAGAATCTTTTGGAAAGCTTCTAAGGATGGAAGACTGGTTAGCCGAGGAAAGTAGCCTTGTGATTCGATGGTCCCGATTTTCTGATCCACCTTCTGACCTCCGGGAAACAATGAAGAAGAACTAAAGATCGACTTCGTGGTCAATGTCTAGTGATTCAGTCACTCATTCTTGTGTAATAAAGACAATAAAAACTCAAAGGAATATGATTCCCAGAGCTTCTGGGTTGAAGCAGACACAGATGTGGTAAGAAGATGTGATGGATCGAGATAGCATGGAATCTCCTGAGCCCCCAAGCCATGCATCTCCTCCAAAGGGCTGTGTCTTTTGTAATAAACTACTGGCCTAAATTAATCTATTTTATTAACTGTTTCCCTGAGTTTTGTGAGCTATTCTACTTCAAACCTAAGGCAGGGATCATGAAATATCTAGTTGATAGCCTCTTGGTAAAAAGTATCAGAGACCCACATTTGAGATTGGCATCTCAAGAAGGGGGAATTCTCGGGGACTGAGATCTTTACCTATGGGATTTGGCTCTAATTCCAGGTTGATGGAGTCAGAAATGAGTAGAATTGTGAGGCACCAGTTGGTGTCCAGAGAGAACTAAATTGTTTGGTGGGAAACAAAATGAACAAATCAAAACAAAAACACCTTAGAACCACAAGTGTTGTTATGATTTGGGTGAACTCATATCAGAACCCCAAGTACTACGATGGTGAGTGGAATAAGTGGAAGACAAGAATTGCAGTAACTTCCACTGAAGGGAACCAAGCTGATCATGTTGGCATCACCATGTATAAATGACGCCAGTGAAAGGACAATTAAAAGTTATTGTAGTTTAAGAATCCCTGACACATAAGAAAAAAATTAAGTTAAGGAATTAAATACAATGAACCCTCCATCTATATAAAGAAAACAGATTTTATAAAATCTTGTTTTCTAAACAAAAAGGGGGGTGGTTAGAAATGTCCTCAAAGCATTTTATGTTGTTGAAAGGAAAACTTAGTTGCAATAATGACCCTCTGGAAAATGTTTATTTTTGTGGTAAAATATTATACAATAGATTTCACGCAACATTCATGGAGAAGGAAACTTCTCGAAGTTTATCCAGAAAACAAAATAAATGGAATAATTAATAAAACTGTGGGTCGGAATCAGCTCTAATTAACTGTAGTTATTGCCTCACGATGTTGCAACACAAGGAGAAGGCTGAGTTAGGGCATTAGAAGGTGAAGAAAATCAGTACCTTACCTATACAGGTGTGAGGATCTTGGGATGAATGTCCATGAGAAAGCAAGGTACACAGATATTCTTTTTTCAGAATTGGAGATTTCCTCACTCTCAAAAATGACTTGGATGATTCTTATCCAACAGCTTCCCAGCTAGAGCACCAGTAAGACTTATCCTCTTCCCAATACCTGGAGCTGGAGAGTAGAAAACTCCATTCATTGTTCCATAGAATTCTCTTTGCTAAATCACAAGAATAATAAAAAATCATTGATCCACCAAATCACTAATTTTCTTGTTCTATCTGATCTGAGGTATTTTTGTCACACATTAGGTGACAGTGGCTGAAGCGTGGACATGTAAGCCAAGTAGGGAGGTCTGCTTCTCTTGCCAGCTGTGGCAACAAGCAACAACAACCAAGAAAGTGTCAGGTCCTACAGTCTCAGCTCCTATTCTGTGTCACTCATGAAGGAGTCTCTTCTGGTGTCTTGTCATAGGGATGGAAGCCTAATCAACATGCTCAGCACACAGAGTTATTCGGAAAGCTGAGGTGAGGGATGACAAGTTCAAGGATCCCTGCACAGGCAGCTTGCTGAGCCTCTGTCTCAAAGCTATTAGGGGCGGCACGTGGCTAGAGTATGCTTGCCTAGCATATGAGACATCTAGGTTTGATACCAAACACAAAGAGAGAAGGAAAGAAGGAAAGAAAGAAAGAAAGAAAGAAAGAAAGAAAGAAAGAAAGAAAGAAAGAAAGAAAGAGCAATAGAAAGATTACACAAAATTATTAACTATGAAATACAAATTATGCAAGAAGAGAATTGGAATCATGGCATTAGAGTGTTAACGATTACTATGGCAATATTTATGTTCATAAAATTACTCCTATTATTTTTCAGGTTTTTTTAATAATGCATCCATAGTAACTGTATCAAAAAAAAGGTTGATTTAAGTAGAAATTCAGATATGACTCTATCACAAAGATAAAGAGATGAGGAGCTTTAGGGCATGGATCACGATAGCAGAGTGCTAGCCCCTGACCTTTAGTAAGAAAGGACTAAAGGTCAGGTCCATATTGGGAAAATCAATAAACAGAAATGTAATCTTACAATCTGAAATGGGCTAATTCCCAAAGGAAATAATAAAGAGATGGTATTTATATGAGACTATGAGTAAAAGAGAAACAGGCCTTTCTATAAACCTGTCATTTGATATTTAAAACTATATACGTGATTATTCATTAGTAATTATAGGTGATAACTCAGTAATTTCTCTAATGCACACATCTATGTACAAGCAGAGAGAAAATAGTAGAAGAACACAGAAAGCATTTCAAATGTGATCTCTGTGTGTGTGAATCTGAGTGTGAATGTGTGTGAGTGTGTAGTACTGGAGATTGAACCCATTGGCTTTACACTGAATCAAATCTCCAATTCCATTTACTTACTGATTCATTCACTCATTCATTCATTGTTGAGACAGAAATTTGATAATTCACTAAATTGTCTTTTCTGGATTTGAACTTGGGATCTTCCTGCCTCAGTTTCCCAGAGTGCTAGGATTACTCATGTGCATCACCATGTATGTGTGTAAATGATTATTTCAGGAATAGGATGCTCATTATTTCTGTTGTGTTCCAGTTTGCTGGAGGTTTGTGCATAACATATTGTGTGTCTCTGAAGAGACTGTACTGTGAAAACCAGCAAACTCAGTATATAATAAGAAATGACAAAAGCAAAAATTATTCCTCAGCATTTTACATATTCAGTATGAGTGGGCTGAGAATGTTTTTTCTTTATGACTTCTGACTAATCAGTCAGCATCTGAAACCTGCTGGCCACTGTGGAAAAGAAAAATAGGCCAGCAAGTGGTGTATTTTCATAAGCAATCTAATGCTTATCTCAGAAGTAACACTTGTAGATGAAGAGCTAACTAATTTTCCAAAACAACAGACACTTTTTCCCAAGTGCAAAGCTGTCCTGTGCATAAAAGGTAAAAAATATAAAATAACACATGGAAATAATGAAGGAAACTACAATCATGTAAACTGTCGTGATTAAAATTTTATTTTAGATATTTGGCTTTTAGAAATGAACCATGCTTTTGTACTATGTCTCCATCAGTTTACCATCAACTCTATTGTCCAACTTAAACACTTGTCTAGAAATAAGTTAGAGATGAAAAGCAAAAAATGACCATTGTTAGGAAACGGTTTTCCTCCTTGAAAGCTGTTTGGCTAAGGCTTCTTTCACGTCTTTATTTCTCAGGCTGTAAATCATGGGCTTTAACATGGAAATCACTGTGGTATAAAACACAGCCACCATTTTCCCTTGTTCCACGGATTCCTCGGATGGGGGTCTGAGGTACATGACAAACAGTGTCACGTAGAATATGGTGACACTGGTCACATGGGAGCCACAGGTGGAGAAAGCTTTGTGTCTGCCTGCTGTGGAACGGATCCTCAGGATTGCACGGAAAATAAAAAGGTAGGAAAGTACAATGCTGATCAGGGAGAAAGACAGGTTGCATCCAGCCACCACAAACATGGATGTTTCTTTCTTGTAGGTGTCGGAGCAAGCCAGTTTGATGAGCGGGGGGTCGGCACAGGCACAGTAGAAGTGGTTGATTTCATTGGGACCACAGAAGGCCAGGCTGTAGGTCCACATGGTCTCCATGAGGCCGGTGAGTGCCCCATACATGTAGGGCCCCAGGATGAGCATCAGGCACACGTGTTGGGACATCCTGCTGCCATAGAGCAGCGGGTTCCCGATGGCCATGTACCTGTCAAAAGCCATTGCTGCCAGGATGTACATCTCCACATGGACCAAGGCAATGAACAGGTAACACTGCACCAGGCAGGCAGGGTAGGAGATGGTTTTCTTCTCTGACAGGAAAACCTCCAGCATCTTTGGAGTCACGTTGGAAGAGAAGCAGAGATCCACAAGGGACAGGTGGCTAAGGAAGAAGTACATGGGTGTGTGGAGCTGGGCACTGAGCTGGATGAGGACGAGCATACCCACATTCCCCAGCACCGTGATCAGGTAAATACCCAGGAACACCAGGAAGAGGAGAATCTGTAACTCTCGGAGACTAGTCAGGCCCAGGAGGACGAACTCCCTCACAGTAGTGAAGTTCCTTCGCATCCTTTCTTTCACCAGGAAAGGAGAACTTCATAACAATGCATATGTTCTTTTAGATGGCAGAAGTGTCATATTTTCTTAGTACTTCACTTTTCTTTCTTCTTCTATGTCTTAGTTTTGTCTTGTGAGACACTAGATTAAGTGCTTTAATTTAAACTTGATCAATTTAAGCATTCATAAAAACATTAAACTGCCTCCTGGATTTCAGTTACTTTGAGCTTCTGCTTCTTTTCTAAATTTCCCTTTTCCTCTTTGTCTATTCAATTCCTTGGCCTGTAACTGCATTTCTTACCCATCTCCACTTCTATTTTGCCTAGTTTTTACATTTTGTTTAACTTCACGGCTATTTTTATTCTTAGCTTTTGCCTGTCAATGTGAATGAACAAATGAATACTCACCTCTAAGTTAAATTGTGTCCAGAAAACCAGACAGAAACCTGTAACACAAGTTTCTTTCCTGACAACATTTATTTCTTTCAGGCTATCCCAGATAGAAACTCTTGGTTCTTTAAGTGATAAAGAGAAATGTATCTTAATTCATTCTCTGTTTACATATAAAGCTAAACATGTTCTATTTCAGACCAATTAGCTGATTTGGGGGAGAAAACAGAAAAATGACGAAGATTCAAAAATGGGACAATTACAAATACTACAGGAATGCTTTCAGGAACTCTTCTAACATTGCAGTATAATTTGGATGATCTAATTTTTCAGGCCACCAGACCTAAATTAGGGTATAGAAGTGAATTATTTTAGCACGAGAGCCTACAGAAGTGAAAACTGAGAAAGAAATGCAAAGATAATCAAAACCAGAGTTTTAGGTGACAGAGTCTCAACTAGCAGCCAACATCATCTGTAGAACCAGACACATACTTGCTCCTCAAGACCAGCCCTGGTCATTACAGGTGAGTTCTCTGAAATTAAAAAGTCAAGCCAAAGAAAACAAAACAAAGGTGACAATGAGCTCCTTTTCCTTTTTTATTCTAAACTAAATCTGCTACAGTCAAAGGGGAGGTTGTAACCAAGAGAATAAAATGAGTTAGAAGTGAGCCACTTTCGTCTACCTGTTTGTACTATGGACTTGCCCTTTTCTTCCATTTGCCTTCTATTGCTGTGATGGGGACATCATGCCTGGGTCATGTGGAAAATACCAACTCTTCACAGATGGCAGAAAGTTTAGATTGAATTAGTTGGATCTCCTAAAATCTTTGTAGACCTGAAATGTCATGCCACCTCAGAACTGTATGGAGAGTAAATGAAAATAAACTTCTACCTTTTTAAGTGTTTATTCTGCTTTCACAGGAATTGAACTCATTGTCAACTAATAGGAACACTTTAGGACCGGTGCTCAAGATTCCTAGAAAGCTGATTGCTCTAGAAGATAAAACGACATAAAATGATTAATATTTGTAAGAATTTAATTAATCCCACAGAGGTTTTGCCCAAGAACTATCACATGACTTAAAATGCAGGAAAATAATATTTATATAATACTGATGTTAGTCTCTTGAGACTTTTTTAAATTGCCTTAAACTTATTTTCCACACATTTCATGACATTTAGAAATCTAGAATATTCACATGTACACAGGCAAAACAATATTGCTACTGTATGGAAGGCAGATGAATTATATGGGTTGCAAAAAATAAAATTGATATTGAATAATTAGAAAATCTATTCTTTAAATTGTCCTCCAGCATTCAAGATATGGAAGATTGCTTCCCTGACAGATTTTCATTGAATTTGCAGCTTCATATTCTCTTTCTTTCTTACCTCCACATTTTCTTTCTTGAAATGATCTCAAAAACTCCCTATTTTTGTCTCCATATTATTTTGCTAGTTCCTCATCTCAAACTCAGCTCTGCATCTATGTCTGTATATGCATTACATACATTAAGGTTTGTTTAATTTTAATTTTATTAATGCATGTCTGCAGTACATAATGCTTACATTAATCATGGCATGTGGATACATGTACATAGCACATCTTAATTCTTTTTATGACCTCTTCTCCTCAGTTCCCTCCCACTCCTTCCAAATCTTGGTCCACTTTCCATTAAGATGTATTGTGAAATTAAAGGATTTGCATATAACCATCACTTCAGTAAGATGGTGATTAGGATACCTCTATTTCTCTCTCTCTTTTTCTTGCCTCATCTTTGCAATGTATGTAATACCTTTTGACTATGCATATTGTTATATACACATATAACACATGCACAGAAACATGTATAAATACATATGTATAAATAGATACATATAAACATATTTACATTGTATCACAGTACATGCAGATATTTTCAGTGGCTTGTGTAGTGGGGGCTTCTCTATATTTTCCATATCTCCTGCAAAGAACACTGCTAGATTATGTTGACCTTGTATGTATTCAAACCATATCCTTCTATCAGGCTTTCCTAGAAAATGGTCTACTGAGGTACCTTGGTGCTGTCCAACATTTTAAAATATTTTGTCTTAAAATATTTCTAGTAACCTCAGCAATAACATGTGTCTCACAGACCAAATCATAGATTTTGTAACTTGGAAGATATGACTTAAAAATTGCAACCATGCTAAATATTGTCTGTACAGTTGTCTACAACTGTAGAGACAATACTTAACTTACTCAAGACAATACTTAAGAGATATACTTAACTTTTATGAGCCTTACATTGTCTTACCTTAAAATATTGTTGCAGTGGTTTTCTTTAAGGATTAAAAGTTATAAGATATGTAGAGATCTAAAAATAAATGAAACACACAAAAACATCACAGGAAATTTCAGTTCCTTCTTCCTCTTAATTTAATCTTTAGAAAGAGTACAACTTCTGAAATTTTGAGCATTGGTCCTACACATCTAACAAACTACACTCCTTACTATGCAATCCTTTATTTCTAACCACATACTCATTCCTACTAAATACGTGTTTGGCTTCAAGGTATAAATAGCAACATTTTGGCTAGTTCTCAATGCAGAAAATACAGACAACCTGACCTATAAATATGTGAGAATGAACTTAAAAAGGAGGGAAAAAACTATAGGCATTTAAGAATAATAATTGAGAACAGGTTTTGCTGGTGATTATAACGTAAATTTCTTTTCCCTATTGCATGTTTTCAAAATGATGATGAAGTCATCAATTCCACCAATTAAAAGCTCCTTAAATACAGTACAGGGACCTTTTTTGACATGAGAGTTAGAAATGAGTTAAGTGCCTCTTCTGTGTGCTCCTCATCTCTCTTGGTAATGGCCTTAATTACCATTTGATTTGTGCTACTTCTCATGCTTTGACTTCATTACATGCAGTGCTCAGCAGAAAGGGCTGCATTCAAAGACATCCCTGACTCACTGACTTAACTTGTCCACAGCAGATATTCCACCATATGGAATCACTGTAGGAAATTCATTTGAAAACACTACTTATGGGGGTTTTAATCTTTTAGCTTTTTTATTTTTTCCACTTTTTATTTTTTATTAATACATGCTTGTAATACATAGTGCTTACACTCCTTTTGGTGATTTGATACATGCACATGATACCTTTCAGATCTTTTTTCATATTCTTCCTCCCTCTCCCTCTATCTCTTGGTTCTCTTCCCATTAGCAAAAGATCTATTTCCCTATTTTCTATTACCTAAATTTCATTTTGCTCTTTATATTTTGGGTTTCCTCACATAAGAGAAACCTTGATAGCTAAGCTTGTGTGACTAATTTAGTCTATAGTGTTTTGTTTTGCAAAAACTCCAAGAGCAAAGGCATCCAATCAGAGAAATCTAAAGAATGCAATGAATTGAGAAAACTGCTTTGATTCTTTATTTTCCTAGGCCATGATAAATGTTCCTTCTATGATTATGGAATTTTATAGCAGTTACATTTTTAAAATATATCTGATAAATGAAGGAGCTAACTTTCATAAAGCACATTGAACATTATTTAAGATATCATGTTATCAGTAACTCATTATAATTTGAGATCAATATCTTAAAACCATTATATTTGGAAAGAACTGAGCCTTGGGACAATCAGTTTTCTCAAATTCAGATAATGACTGATTAAAGACAAGAATATAACCACAAATATTCTATCTTTACCACTAATATGCATGGATCCCTTCAATATTAACCCATTACATTTCACCTTTAAACATTCATAAAAAAATTAAAATGCCTAAGCTCTCCAGAGGAGTGGAAGCAATGCCTGGTAAATTCATTGCAACCTTTAGCTAGAGGGAAGCCCAAGAAAACTAAAGAGAGTGATTCCTCCTCTACTGGATAATTATCTTTTCATATGCTAGCAAATTAGTTCTACATGTCATCACTTTTAGTTTTATCATCTTGAAACTATAAGAATGTGTACTACAGTACATGTTAAAGCCACTTAGAGTTCAAAACCAAACAGTTACTTAGGCATTTATGTAGGAGTGTGGGGGATGCAACGTTTTATTTTTGCCTCAGGACTCACAGGAGCTTAGCTTGGAGACAATAATTTGTGGAATAAATTTGTGGGTAGATTTATCACCATGTCAGATAGGACTCTGGAAGGTTCAAATCTATACAAAAACGGGGCATAAGAAAAGTAGAAATAATGTGAATAAATAACTAATTTATATGGTTCTCCCAAAATCACTCTCCAGATGCAATCAGAGAGCTAGAAATCTGGGACAGGTGTGAGAATGGCCTGGGAAGAGCCTCTCATCTCCCGGGTCGATGATGACAGCCATTCTTGCAGACCCTACTGTCCTTGCAGAAAGTAAGATTGGGGCAACATTGTCTTCATGCCTGTACTCAGTTTGAAAGCCCTGGTCTTGCCTCAACCATTGAAAATAAGACAAAATAGCAGCAATGGATTCCATGACAGCCTATTCTGATCCAGAGTTACTCCTCAGCTTTAGCTTTTCTCACTTGGCAATCCAAGATTGGAGTCCCAGGGACAGGCGAGTTGTTCTTCAATCAGCTGTTTTTTGTTTCAGTGAAGGATTGGCTCCAATTCTTTGCTCCTTGAAATTC